ATCATTTCCTAATACCCTGCATCTAACCTCACTATTACTTACCCGGTGATCCCAGCAGACGCGAGCAATATTTCTAAGACAACTGTGGTCAAATACTAGTAGCTTACGAGTGTCTTCTACTCTTAATGGCCATGTTTCGCTGCCAGTGGTTTTTAAATCATGATGATAGATGTAGATGGATAACCACTATTAGTGGTTAGAGATCTTCGGTATTATGGCTTAGAATCCATCAAAATTACGCAGATGAATTCACTCTTTATCTTTCTATATACCAATATACCTTCAAACATGCCTTCTAGAACCCTATTCTCCAGGTTTAGTTATTCTCATCGTCATTCCTATGACATTATTTAAAATTATTTGTTATGCATCTTGTTAGTCTCATCTTATCGTGTTAATTTGGCATGGCTACTTAAAATACAATTGAAAAGCATATGAAACTCAAAATAACTATCTGCAAGTCAACATCAAAGTTAGAATCTTCAATACGAACGTCAAGACAATTCTACTGTATGAATCTGAAACTTGGAGAACTACTACAACCATCATCAAAAAAGTACAAGAATTTATGAACAATTGTCTACACAAAATACTCAATGTTCGTTGATCGGATAACATCATCAACAGTCTACTGTAAGAGAAAACATACCAGCTCCCAGTTGAAGAGGGAATTAGGAAAAGATGTTGGAAGTGGATAGAACATAGATTGAGGAAATCATCAAACTGCATTTTGAGGCAGGTGCTTACTTGGAGTAATGATGGGAAACGGGAAAGAGGAAGGCCAAAGAACTCATTACATTGGGAAATAGAAGCAGATATGAAAAGGATGAATAACACCGGGAAAAGCTGGAAAGGATTGCCCAGGACAGAGTTGGTTAACGAGTGCTAGTAGGCGGCCAACGCTCATCCATGAAAGGTAATAGGCGCAAGTAAGTAACTCGGGTCAACGCACATTTTCATCAGGTTTTACTTTAATTACGACTGACTGATCACCTTTGATTTAATGTTTTCGCAAATGTAATTAAAACCGAGTTACGCATGGATAGTAAAATTATGAAACTGCTCAGTTGTATTTTTCTGTACACCAATCGTCTACAGAACATATCTACAAATCTTAAACAGACACAACTACTCTACCTAAATGATCTTCTAACAACTAATTCCTGCATAAAACGTAGTTCAATTTTAAGCAAGAGAAACAAACAGAAAACATAAAGATGAGTTCTATTTCGATTTATTTATCTATTTATTTGGACACATAAATATTGATACAAAGGGGCACCGAATATATATGCACCACAAAAGTCGCTTGATTTGTGTATGGGCTGTGATAGTCTCCGGGTACCCAGACCGAAGCAGGTGGTTTTCTTAGGGGGACACACCATGAGCCTTTAAATTAGAGGTCACTTTTCGTCCTCTCAATTTCGTGAACAATAGTAATACCGCCAGAAGGCAGTGAGTAGGACTTCTCTGGCAGTAACTGTATACGCGTAGTTATGTGAGAGTATTTCGAGAGGGAGACCGGACTCTCCCCACCCTCTGCCGTACCAGGGCATTTGGGGTCATCAGAATTATGTGATATATTTGTGCAATGCATTTCCAACAATGTGATCACATATATCTTTATTTCCGCTTACCTTTTAATTTGTTTAGTTGACTTATTTTTCATATTAAATGTCTTTACAAGTATATGTTCAGTCAGATTGTTCGAAATGTATTACACAAATGTATTACATAATTTGGATAACTTTCATCTTCTCATTGCATTATCGAAATTTATCAAATGGATTGATGGTTATGTATTTTATTATAATCAGAGAAGGGTTTTTGTGAATATTATAGTAATTTAGTAGTTGAATTCATGAGTAAATTGAATTGGAGAGATCAATATTCACTCTACCCTCGCATTCGTCATCCTGGTGATTCATGCATTAAGAAGACTAATATTCAATCGACCCATGAACTAAACTATTAAATTACTAAGAACACCACAAATCTCCCTCTCTGATTATAATAATCGTATACCCGACAGTGACTATCTCCAAGAGGTATTTCCTGGAGTTCTATTGAGAAGCCATGATATCTTTCTTATCTTCTAAATACAGAGTCTTATTTCGGGATTGGTTTAAATCTGTATCTATTTGAATAACACCATGATAATCTAGCTTCAAATGGCTCATGATCTCAACTATTGAAATTACAACAATCTCCACAAAACCCCTTCTGATACTAATCGACATATGCTCACTAGTGACTGGCTTCAAGAGGTATTTCATGGAGTTCTAGTGAAAAGCAGTGACAAGTGGAGTTCAACCTGATCTACTGTGAGGCAGTAATTCACTGAAGATAATGATGAACGGTGGCCCAATTTCGTGGATTGGTTGAAGTTAGACAATAACGCCGTTGGATACCTGATCAGTGGTCTAGAGGTTAAGCGCTCGTGTGCGAGACCGATAGGTCCTGGGTTGGAATCTTGCGGGGCAGGATTGTGGAGGAGTTTCATAGTAGGACCATGGTGGTCTAGCTTCAACTGACTCATGAATTCAACTAATAAATTATGTTGACAAATTCCTTCAAACAACCGAACATCAGGATGTAAACGTTGGATATTTCAAAGCTGAAATTACAATTTATATTCCATGGAATTAAATTCATATGACATAAATAGAATAATTTATTGTTACCATATCCATGTTCATCATATCCAACTTGAACATAGTAATAAAGTTAATCTATGATAGATAAAAATTAAATGAAATGATATGTCCCTATCATTTACAGTTGGGAGGAAAAACCCGACCCACACGTCCTCGTCGTGCCTCACAATAAATGGGACTCAGTCCCATGAACTAACATGAGCGGTAACCCAGATGGTAGAGATTGGACTGATCACCCACTTGACTGATACCCACAAAGAATCACAGGACAATTACTCCAGGATCGAAAAACGACAAAACTTTCACAAAAATGGTGCACGCAATGTACGGGGATGCTATCTACGGGGAAAACTCCAATCGATTGCAAAAACAGCTATTCTAGCCCCAGTAGTTGTGTCGTGATTCAATGTGGCCTATTTATCTTCAAAAGGGCCTACTAGGCTTTACCAACTTGTTTGACTAGAAGGGGGTGGCATCATTTAAAGTTAGATTAGGTATATATTCTAATTAAACTAAAAATTGCACATCATATATATATATTACAACTAACCTTGTGCCGATGAAAGTACACCATCTACAATATAGCATATTTCTTCTGGTTCATTAAAATTATTCAAAGGTGATTGAGACAAGTCTTTTGAAAATGTTGACGGTTGAACTGTGGAAATTTCCTGTTTAGGTATATTATTATTTGTGTGTAAATAAGAATCCGTTTCTATAGTATCCAATGCAGATGTAGCTTGTAATGAAGATAAATCATGTTGATTATCCTCTGAAGGTGACTGTAATTCGTCGTCATTATTATTATTATTATTTTCATCTAATTCCTTCACAAGTCTACAGTTACTATGCACTGAAGAATTCGCCAAAGTTTCCTTGAATTCAAATTACAAAGTTGTATATATAAAAATTAGTTTGGTTCATTTGTAGAACTATACAGCTACATAATGAAATAGCCAAGTCAACAATTAAAGCAAATGTCCAAAGCAAAACGACAAATAAAAGCCCATGATGAAGAAACATCTTTAAATTAACGAAATCTTTTAAAGCCAATCAATTGAATAGTAATTTTATGAAGGCTATTATCATCAGTCAGTCAGTCAGCAACAACATAGAACTTCGTACGTACGTACATCAGTTCGGGTTGCCATACCACATTACCACACAGATACAATTGTCGATTGAAATGCCATGGTGGTAGAGGTAGTAAGAGTATAAGCAGCAATCGGAAAGATTAGGGTTTGAAGATGTTATTCAAGGAGTATAATTCAGTGAAATAAATTTGGAAAGAGAAAAAGAAAAGGGACATGAAGAATTCAGAAGATTAGAATTTGGGAGAACACAAAGAGTGGATGCACGTGTGTCACTCCAAACGATTTTGGACCATGTCATTCAGGGTCTCTAATCATCGGTTGCTATCGTATCGCGGATCCCAATCAGGTAGTCTACGCTTACCAACATGGCTCAGTCCACTTGTCAGTGATTTCATGGATTTGTGCCATGTTTTGATTTGGTCGCATCTAGCTTTCTTCCAACCTACTCCTACACCATGAAACAACATATTTCAGGGCAGTCGGTGATTGGGAATACGTAACACATGTCGCAGTCATCTCAACTAATGAAGTTTTACTACTTCGTCAATTGATTTGCCATCCTTAATTAGTACCCATTTCCTAATAACTGCATTAATTACTCGATAGTCCCAGGATATACGAGCAATGTTTCGAAGACAACTATGATCGAATACTAGTAACCTACGAATATCCTCTACTCTTATCGGTCACCCCATACTGTTAGTTACCATGTTTCCACAAGTGTTAATAGGTTGATGAGGGAATTGTCAAAGTTCTAGTAAGAAACCAAAACTAGTAGAGTTAATCCATATCAGATAGAGACATATATCTACCTCTGACAATGAAAGATAATTGCACAATTTCATGAATTGGTTAAAAATTCAACATTAATATCACTGAACCCCTACTCAATGATTTAAAAGTTAAGCATTCACATACATAACCCAAAGTCCTCGGTTCGAATCTCATATATGGAAAATAAGAAACTTACAATCAATATATTTTAATTAAAAATATAATCAATAAATTATAGTAAAAACAAATGAACTCCAAACATTACCTGCTCATTATGATCATCCTTTATATCACCATTATTATTATTATCATTATTCATTATATCATTGGTAATCAATTGATTATTGATATTGATTGATTTCAATGTTTTGATTGATTGATTATATGATTTAGAGAATTCATTGATAAACCAATCATTATTCATCGATATCATTGTATTTGATCCATTTCTATTCTGATCTATATTATGTAATAGATTATTATTATTATTATTATGATTATTATGATTGAAATACTTTCCAGTTCTTGTTTTAATCATATCAATATGATGATGTAATTCAATGACTGATTGACTTTTATTAAAATTGAATTTTTCTATATTCTCATTATCATTTTCATCATTTAAACTAAATTCACTACTATTTGTATTCATATACGATTTGATATGATCTTGATCCAATAAATCAATATTGAAATCATTTAATGATGATTGATAATGATCAATAAAATGATTAATTTGATTCATTGAATTATTTAATGATAAATTATGTATTTCATCTTCAGGATCTGGACTAGATATAAATGAACCATGATTGATTGTCATTGAAGAGAATTCATCTGAAATGAAATAGACAATGATTATTTCACTCTTTTGCTCTCTCTTTCTCTTTCTCAAACTAACAATTAATTTCAATAGTTGAAATCATGATTCCATTGAAGCTAGACTGAGATATGTGTTAAGTATGCCCAACCATTAGTTTCTTAGTCTGAAACACTAAAGTTTATTGTTCTAACTATGTATTGACAATGTTTGTTTTGAGTTCGGATTTGTTAATTGGATTAGGAGAAGTCAAAGAGTTAATGTATCTGGGTCATTGTGACTGATTCTGAGCCATTGACGCAACAACTCGACCCAAACTAGGTACTCTACACCTTGTTTACTTGTCTTTCAGTGCAGTTGTCAATAACCTCATACAATAATATGTCCTCGTGATTTGGAAGTCTCTAACCTTCTCCAATGTATCACTACACTTTCAGGTAGTTGGTGGTCGGGTATATGTTATGTATGTTCCAAGCATCTTACTTGATAAATTATTACTACCTAATCAATCAATTCACAAACTTTATCTAGTGCTTTATGCCGAAACTTAGCATTGTTCGCTCATCGATTACAATATACATGAGCAATGCTTGAAATACGAATATCCTCTATTCCTAATAGCCATAATTCAATATCTGGAAAGTAGAATAAAGAATACTGGTATTAAAATACATGATAGCTACTCAATAAAATAGGTTTTATATTCAATAAAACAACACTTATGTCCAACATTATCACGATGAACATCATGATAAGGTATTATAAACAATTTAAGAATATCCATTAGAAGGTCAATTAGTCTCCAGTGAATTAAAACTGTACTCACCATATGGTATAGGAGTAGGTTGGAAGAAAGCTAGGGGCGGCCAGACTAAAACATGACACAAATCCATGAAGTACACTGACAAGTGGACTGAGTCATGTTGGTAGGTGTAGATTACCTGGTTGGGATCCGCGAGACGATAAAAACCGATGGTTAGAGACCTTGAATGACACATTACTCAAAATCGTTTGCAGTGATACACGTGCATCCACTCTTTGTGTTCTCCCAAATTCTAATCTTCTGAATTCTTCATGTCCCTTTTCTTTTTCTCTTTCCAAATTTATTTCACTGGATTATACTCTTTGAATAACATCTTCAAACCCTAATCTTTCCGATTGCTGCTTATACTCTTACTACCTCTACCACTATGGCATTTCAATCGAGAATTGTATCTGTGTGGTAATGTGGTATGGCAACTCGAACTGATATACGTACGAAGTTCTGTGTTGTTACTGACTGACTGAGACCACCATAGAAAACTTGGAAGTATTGGACGGCTTTTTCGTTCTAGTATGGGACTCCTCAGTTGATTAAGTAAAAAGATTGGTTTAGTAAACAGTTCTCTTCTTTCGATGAGTTCATTCACAAAACTATACAATCGCAAATATGTATACATTTATTGTTTCAGGATAACAATCAGTCAGTCAGCTACAACATCGGACCAGACAAATATGTGCATCAGTTCAAGTTGCCCTACCTTATTAGAACAAAAAGATTAACACAGGATTCATAGAAGTAGTTAATTCAGTGATGATGGTGGTGGTGGTGATGATAATAGTGGTAATAAAATCCTGTTAAACATGATAACAATGAAGTAGAATAAACAACTGACAGGTTCCATATAACACGAAACACGAGTCCTGGATTCCACTGCTAGTCACTATCTATCTATGCTTAAAAAGCATTAAAATGTTATGTTTTTAACTAGGGAAACTAATAATTATTTATTAGTTGAATTCATGAGTCAATTGAAGCTAGACCATCATGGAAAACAGGAAAGCACTGAACGGTCATTTCTTCCTATTGTGGAACACTTCAGCAGTGCGCATCCACGATCCCGCCTCGCGAAATTCGAACCCAAGACCTTTAAAAATACTTTTATTATTTAGAACTTGAATATTAACCATGAAGATAGATAAGGAAATTATAATTGGGAAATGAAAGCTCAACATGATACAATGAAATGCTGAATTTGGTATGAAATGTAATCAGGAGGATTATAGAAACAGAAGCAAACTAGTTGAGGGTAAAAGGTCTATAAAGAAGATAAAACACGAAGTAGATTATTATAAAGGGAGGAAAATATGAAGGAGAAATAAAATTATGAGACATTAAGATCATAGTAGAAGAAGAGGTTGTTCCACATAGTTCTCGATTTTCCAAATATATAGCTACTGCTTCAATAATGTTAGGAAGATGCACTGACTTTGGCAGTCTATTCCAGTTACAATTTCCCATCTATCTGCATGATAAAGTATATATTTACGACCGTAAAGTGTTGAGAATGAATTCACTGAAAACAGAACTTTTCGTTGAACCAATCTTTCTTATTATATTGTCTTAATGGGTATATTCCATTTAGTTAAAAATACAAACAATTTACTTTCCAAGAAATCCACAAGTATAACATTGACAATCAATGACATATTATTCCTTATACATATCATTTCATTCGATTACTTAAGTTTCAATATTCATAGAAGAATATATGGGATTATTTATCAAAGGATGACTATAAAGATCACCATTTCAATCTTTGGTACTATATTTACATGAAGAATAAACATTTCAGTATAGTAAGTGTTAAGTCGGCTTTCCGAGAACTGCAACGGAGCCTCCAGAGGCCCTAAAGGAGCCGAAGAGTCCTAGCCAATCAGAGCATGATGGGACTTTCTAGAACATCAATGTGGCGTGCTACTATTGGTCAGTGGCATAATATGCCTTTTAGCGGATTGGCCAAAATATGATGCTGATTTATCAAATGTTAACATCTATAAATACCCGTGTTTTTCTGTACAAAAATGAACCTTTGGAGTAAAGCGTTTTCGCTTATTTTGCACCTTTTTCTCTCGAGTTCAGGTCGCTACGTAGTTCTAGCTTGTGAGTTACCAGAATAGCTTAGGAACCAAATAAAGCGTTCAAATTAACAAGACTTATCAGTAAGTTAATAACTAACTTCTTATTTGATCGAACGTGTCCTATTTGTATTGTAATAAACGAGAACACAAATGGAGACAATCGAATGTACTGGACCACAAAATTACAGATCTAAAAACCATACAGTAAATACTTAACTTGCAAAATGTCAGTCAGTCGTCTTAGACTTCAGTGTTCCTGTATTACCATGCCAATCACTTTTTGTTCCCGTTCTTTCCTTCTAGATCTTCTTGATCTTCTGCTGCCAGACATTCTATTCCTAACTAGTGTTATATACTAGATATGTCGATATAATTAGCGCACATCACAGTATTATTCAAATTCATTGAAACAATTGAGTAGGAAATGGATTCAAATAATTCAACTGACGTATGATAGATTGTTGAATTGTATCCTTGCGGCGCTAAAAGCCAATAATTTGTCGTGATTAATTATTAATTCCATCTCCAGATAAACAACAATAATTACTTTGAAAATATTTTCTGATATGCTTTTCATCTAAATATGACATTTCATCCACAGTCTCCGACCACTGGTTACGATAGTTACATGGACCCCAACCAAGTAGTCTGCATCTACCAACATGGCTAAGACTAGAATTTAGTGACTTTACAGACTGATGCCACGTTTTGGTTTGGCCACCCCTAACCCTCTTCCAACCACATCCAACGCTAATCAGCATTGTGCATCGTGGTAATCGGTGTTCATGCATACGTAAAACGTGGCCCAACCATCTTAGTTGATGAAGATTTACAACCTCATCGACTGACTGACCATCATTCCCTAATACCCTGTGCCTAACTTACCCGATGATCCCAACAAATGTGAGCAATATTTCCAAAATATCTCTGATCAAATATTCTCAACTCACGAGTATCTTCTACTTTTAATGACCACGTTTCTCAGGCGTAAAGTGGAACAGAATGAACTATTGTGCAGTATGTTAACAATAAACAAACTAACTTAACTAGACTATGTAACATGAGTTCCACATTTGAAAATGATGAATAAAGTCGTATGAAATTGTATCAATTAAAAACTTACTAAACCCTTTTATCTTTGATGTTTCATTCCAATTTCTGTTAGAATTATTTCTTGTATTGAAGTTATATTTTCTACGAACCGCATAACCATATCCAGAAGATGGAGAAATATGTGGGCTAGAAGAAGGCCATGTCATTGTCATATTGACATCATAGTTCCCATAATCAACATAATTAACAGGATGACAAGATAGACTAGAGTGTGAAATAATTCTTGGAACACCTAAATGATTCGAAGCTATATCTCCAGCATAATCCCATTTTAAAACATCATGGTTATCGGAAATTCCTTTGGGATACTGGAACACATGTACACCATTGGTTTGGAATGAGGGTTTACCAACTCCCTCAGGTGGACCCTCCGTGTAAACTTACCCGGTTAAAGCACCGGACACTCGCTTTTCATCCTGTTAATTTCGCGAACAACAGTAATGTCACAAGAACGTATTGAGTAGGACTTCCCTGCCAGTGGTTGTATGCACGTGGCCATGTGAGAGCATTTGGAGAGGGATAGTTGACTCTCCCCACCCTCGGCCGTTTCAGGGCATTGGATGGCCCGTTCAACAATTTTCCTCTATTTTATAGTGGACAACTGCAAGCAAAACTAACTATGAGTACTATTGCACAGCCCAAAAAATGATGTCATCAAAAAGAAATTCTTTCGTTGAATTATTTTCATTCATTTATTTATGACATAATGGGTTAACTTCGTAATAATAAAAATCATATCTTTGTGGCAGATGGGAACATTTATCAACTGAAATGGTCGTCGGATATACAAAAATCCGGTAAAATTGATATAACAGATTGTTTAAAATATTTTTTTCATTCTCAAGTAGACTGTAATAATACATTAATAAGATAATGAGATTAGTTGCGTTATATAAGATTCAGGATTCCCGACTCAGAATAGAGAACCAGAGTATAGACTAGATAGTACTTTACTCAACACAATTACAAGCAGTTACTCACAGCGAGCCCAGAGTAGAGATCAATAAGAGGAAAAGGAATCACATATATTTAGTGGTCAGTGGGCTACTTGCCTGTTTGTCCACTCACAGTGACTAATCTTATTGTACTTTCACTATCACATATCAAGATTAATCTGTTATTAAATTATGTAAAGTCATAAAATAGCAGAATACACCCATTAACCAAACAATAGAGTTCTGTGCTTAGTTGGAATGAGACTGGATTGGTGCTCTATTATTTGGACGCTTAAACTCTGACCATTAAATCACAATTTTATGCTGATATTCCTTTGTTGAAGTCTAAAGAATCAACCATCGGCAAAACATATAATACATGTGAATCAAACTATTGTATGATGAATAGTTACCAATAGAACACATTCACACCCCTGAAAAATGTAGAGGAACGTTATTTTCCCATAACAATTAGTAGGAATTGTAAGTAAATAATCATAATTGAACTAATGCTAAGGTTAAAGTCAACCTCTAAAACCTAATAAAGATAGTCATACTGGATTGAATGACAGAGTCTACAAATTTCTAGAGTTCTTTCTAAAATTAGCAAAGCAATCAAGCAAATACTACAATGGAAATTAACTTCCAATGTTCAACGCTTAATTAAAGTTTTAAGGGCTATGGTTCAGCTCATAATGTACTCATCAAACTATTGTTAAGTCAGGCTATGAAGAAGCTGTATTTACTGAATCATAGCGACTACAGCTTATTTCCACTAATCTATGTTCAAAACAACCAAACACAGCGTACATATAAATGATGACCTTTGGTTAGGGTTATAACTGAAACCTCATGTTTTCTCTCAGTGTCTCTGTTTCACTTATCCCATGATCATGATACGCCGTGAAACTCAAAAAGGTGTGTATGGTCTATTCGTATCATATTTATCTCCGATTTGGTGACGAGATTTTGTATTCATCAGAAAATCTAGAAAGAAGTTTGAACTCTTGGTAAGTAAAATCGACTATGGAGGACAGACAGAAACATGCATTGATCTCAGCTGGTATACCGTACAACAGATAAGTAATAATATAAATTTGATTGTCACCAATAAAAAAACTGATACCAAAACGTACGTAGATATCGTAACTTATGTAGGAGGTTATGAGTGACTGGATTAGACTATTTTCGTCCAAATCAAAATTATAATCTTAAAAGCAATCACGATAATAACTAAGGCACTCTTAATAACAATAAAATATATACTACTATAGGAAAATTACAATATTAATGACTAAAATACCTCTGATTCACTTGTCAAATTTAGTTGATTTGGGCTAATTTCTGGATTGTGTGGCATGGTAAATCCTTCCGGTGTTTCACGTCTGTTGTGTGAAATTTGTGGAGTGTCTTGTTTAGAATCAGTTACCGCAGATGTTGGATCATTGATTAGAGAACTTGTCATCGGTGTCGAATCAGGTCGAGTAGACAACGGTAAATACAAACTATAGTTTTGACGTACAGTTGGCAGTGGCAAAGACGTATTATGTTGAAAGTCTTCAACTAATTTGCATTCCATCTACTTTAAAACAAATAAAGTATGTATGTCACTATTATGCACATATTAAAGTTATTCAACAATGAAATTATGCTAAACTAGATAAATGCCTGACAACATCTTTAGAACTTGGGTAGTTCAATTTCTAATGATGCAAACTCTGCCATTCCGATAACTTTCTAAATTACTCATACTTCAGAAGAATTAAAGCTTTGACGGAATACTTTGTCAATAAAATTATGCAATCAAGCTTAATCAGGTGTACAAAAGTATTAAATGTAAATGCTTACATCATTATAAATGTTTTGATAATGATTAATTTCCTCGAACTTCACCTGACCGTTGTTGCCACCATGACGTGGTGGTCGGGCTTGCCTATCATGATGAACCAATCGAGCTATAATGGCTGGAACAATCGTTCCTCAAGGTTCTACCATGCCACATTGGTCGATTCAACAGCGGTAAGAACAAAAGCAACAAACCCAAAGTGCGAACGCGAAGTCGTACTGCTGACTGTACAGAGGTGTGACAGCAGTAAAGTGTTTCCTCCAGACAACCAGCATGACAGCCATGCTGCCTTCTCACAAGGAGGGATGGGGATAGAAAAGGTCGACCCCAAAGATCCACACCTCACATTATCCCACGGATATCCGTCTCCAGCGATAAGGTCTCAACAAGTACGGACCCAACACGAAAATGACTCGCAAAAAGGTCGTGTGTGACCGACCTCAAGCAGTTGTCCCTTGGGCGCTGCGGTCACACTTTCAGGTCACTAAGACCACCTCTAATCCACTTTTGTTTTAAGGTGTCTCCAGAAGAACCCTTCCACGGTGTGAGCAACCGGTAAGTGATAACCGCTCTCATACCTCTAACAGCACTCAAAACCACTGTATTCATAATCGACCTCCCTCGAACATCGATTTTAGTTTATGTGTTCATCGTTTTCACCAAAACATTAAAGATTTGAAAATTCGTTGATTGAGAACAAGTTATATGCTTAGTTTTCCTTTGTCTTAAAATAATTGTGATAACTTCAGGCATTTGAACTCGGTCAAGAGTAATATTACACAGGATTCATTTTCTTTTCATTTCATCGCCTAAATCTCTTTTGACAACACTTTTTGATCAAATGTTACTATTTAAACAACTACATGACGTGAAATTAACTGGTTTTATTGAACCCATAACGATGACACAAACTTACTAACTTCCGATTAAGGCAATCTAATCTTTAAACTTTTTTCGAATTCATCATGAACATTGAACTGAGTAGCCACATCAACCTAACTAGACGCCACAAATGGCCTAAAGCGTAATTAAATATCAGAAAGCGAGCATTTCAATTTGCAAAACTTTATTACGAGAATATTAAGTAGTGGGCAGAAATGATATTACAAAACGAGCGATGTTGCGAAAAGCAGGGGCATATACATTTATTTGAGTCCTTTTCAACCCTCTAGACGACCTATTCTCCGATTGTGCTCATATTGCAGTACATTTTCTTATCTATATTTTTGAGTAACTACCTAAACATGCTAAACAGAAGATGTACTTACATGCCTTTGTAACAAGCCCACAAGCCATCGCGAGTCACGATACTTTAAAGCTAGCGAAGAATTATACCACTGGGTGGTGTATTTTTCAACATAACATGCCTTTGAAAAGCGAGATATTATATTGTGATTAGTGGGCTATTTGCACTATTCAATGAAAAAAAACCATCGACTCTAAACTGGTAGTAAACCTTTGAAATTGAGGAATAAGAGCGTTTAATCAATATGAACAAACAAGGTTCTGAAACTGCTATCACTGTAAATAAGTTTTGAGAACTAGTTCATGTATGAAAAATATAGGCATATAGAGACATACGACCCCAAAGCAATTCAAGTCTGGAACTGAAATTTAAAATTTCCATTTTGGTTTGAGTTATATATATATTGGTTTTGGCAGTCTGATTTTTTTAAGCATTATTCGTATGGAGCTCACAACACCAAGTAGCGTCTTTGATTAAAAACACATGTATTACTCGAGCTCCCAATTTTGGGGAAAATTTGACACATTTTGTGGAAGCCGCCATAGTAAATTTTGGGGAAATGGCACAAAAACACCAAAATTCCCCTTCAACCTTGGTCAATGTCATTTGAATTTGGGGACTTCCCCCAAATTTCCCCAAACATTGGTTAATGTCGTTTGATTTCGGGAGTTTACCCAAAATACCTCAAAATTTCCCCAAAGTACTTTGGGAACGTTCCCAAAAATTGGAAGCTCGGGTAGCTATCCCTACTCACATTCCCATGCAAGTTTTCATGAAACTGACATTTAAATTTTGAAGAAAGATTTTTATTTAAAAATAGCCGTTTATAAAATAAATCTGTCGATATAGTCGTCTCTCATGAGTTTTATCTATAGATAAAACTATAGAGTTATGGTGGACCATAATTGTCTACCCTCACTGAGCAATGCTAAAACGTTATACTTTTTACGTAACTCCTTGCTTAAACAGCCAAAAGTTATCTGTACTTAAAAGCATAATAATCATGAGACCTTGATTTATATGTCGCCGAACCAGTTTCTTTAATCTCAAAATCAGCAGTAAAGATTACTGTGTTACACTATCGAAAAAATATTTGAAATTACCAACAATAAAATCAGATCATTTACTCTACAAGGCTTGTTCCCAGAACCAAGTTGATATGACGCTAAATACAAATAAGTGTACGACAAACTTACTAATGTACTGATACGAACAAACAAAACCTTCATTCAGTTTCAGTTTTAAAAATAAATGAGGAAAGGTCTTCCTGTGTTAGTTTTTGTACTATTAATCTCTTAGTTTACCCGAATTTTTTGAAAGAGTCGACAGATGGAGCTTCAACAACGTGCTGAGGTAATAAATTCTACTCGCAGATGTTTCGTTGAGAAAGTCGATTGTCAGCTATCGCTTCCCGTATCTTGACATCGTCAGCATAAAGAAAAACCGACGAGAACACGATTGGTTTAATAAAAACATTTATTATTATAACCAACTGTACCAGTGTTTATTTTAATGTGCTTTTTTGACTGTGCTAATGACAGCTATATTGTGCTTCCATTCTTATTCTTACACTTTGATTGTGAATTCGCGCGAATTCGGTTACGTTCTGTAACAAAGCTTGTATCCTGGCACGATCTCGGTATCCTTTCGATACCACGAGATCGCCAGCGAATATAGCTCGACTTGGTCCATTAACTGCCTTCTGATATTTGGCTTCTCGGGGATTTTATGGATTTATTTGGTTACGTTCAACCTTCGTCTTCTGATTTATTTGGCACGCGATCCTTTGTAGCGGTGTTCATAGTTAGTCTCGACTCGACACCACGCTACATTCTGTTGGGTTGCATGGATATTAAGTGTTCGCACATTTAAATGGTCTTTTGCTGCATCAAAGCCACAAATCAGTGCAAAGAATATTAATTTAGCTCTCTCTATCTTGTAGTTTATTAGTTGGATTGATTGTTGCTTCCTAACTTCAGATTAAGGTTTGTATGGTAAGGACGAAATGCCTATTCCTTTTCTAGTGTGCTTCTATAAGTATCCGGTCTTCTCTTGAATGAGTCAGTTGAAGATGCGGACATCAATGCTTCGGGTAACAGGTTACAAGGATCGATTAATGGGTGTGAAAACCTGTATGCTACTGATATTTTGTTCATTCTTGGCTTTCCTACTTGCATGCTTTGTCCTTTGATATGTCACGATTTAGTGGAAAGAAAAAGAGAGAATATGTTAGGTCCGAAATTATTTAATATTCTATACATCAAAATTAGATCACCTCTTAGCCTACTATAAGACAGACTAAAAAGGTTTAACTTTTCAAGCTGTTCTTTGTATGGTAAACCCTGGAGTTCTGGAAGTGCACGGGTAGCTACTCTCCCTAATATTTCCAGGATATCCGAGTCGCCTTTTAAACAGAGGCTAACAGTCTGAACGCATTTCTCAAGCTTAATTCTCACTAAGGTCGTGTATACTGTAGTGAACATTGTAGTATCTATCTTTGTGAGTATCCGTTTTAAAGCCCAGAGATTTCAAAACCCCTTAGCTGCGACCTCCCGGCAATAGGCCGTCGCACTAAGATCATGACTCACTGTCACCCTAGATCTTTATGAGACCGGACCACGGGTAGAGGCACTTCCCTTGTGCTGTACCTATTAACTTTTGTGTCCCCAAAGTGCATGCAAACACCTTGCCAGTTTGATAGGCGTCAGCCACTCCTCAGACGAGTTAATTACAATATTTAAGTCTTCCAGAAGTGTGCATACATCCGCGTCTCCCGCTATTTCTTGCCAGATTTTTACATCGTCAGCGTATAATAACACTGGGGACTGTACCATAGCTCAGAGATCATTTACATATAGTATAGAAAGTAAAGGACCAAGGACAGGGCCTTGAAGTATTGTACTAAGTACTGGTCTTCAGATGGAGCACCTTGAATTTACTTTTACGTTCTATCTACTACCTACCAGAAAATCCACTTTAAAAGAGGTTCGGCAATACCAAGATTTTCTAAATTCCTTAGCAGTTTATTTGTTGGCACCTTGTCAGATGCCTTACTGGTGTCTATGTAGACAGCATATGCTGAGTTTCCGTTGTCTAGCGCTTTTATCTAATATTCCCTTGTTATGAGGGGGTTCTTTGTGCAAGACAAACCCTTTCTGAAACCATGTTGTTCACTATTCAACAGGTTGTTGGTTTCCATAAGTGTCACAGTGGTCTCTGGCGATTCTTTTCAATATTTTTAACTACAACAATGGTGAGGCTTGCAGGTCTGTAGTTCGATGGAAGTTTTCTTGGTCATGTTTTACGTATGAGAGTGACAAGTGCATCCTTCCAGTCCATAAGCGATAGCTGACAATCGACTTTCTCAACGAAACATCTGCGAGTAGAATTTATTACCTCAGCACGTTGTTGAAGCTCCATCTGTCGACTCTTTCAAAAAATTCGGGTAAACTAAGAGATTAATAGTACAAAAACTAACACAGGAAGACCTTTCCTCATTTATTTTTAAAACTGAAACTGAATGAAGGTTTTGTTTGTTCGTATCAGTACATTAGTAAGTTTGTCGTACACTTATTTGTATTTAGCGTCATATCAACTTGGTTCTGGGAACAAGCCTTGTAGAGTAAATGATCTGATTTTATTGTTGGTAATTTCAAATATTTTTTCGATAGTGTAACACAGTAATCTTTACTGCTGATTTTGAGATTAAAGAAACTGGTTCGGCGACATATAAATCAAGGTCTCATGATTATTATGCTTTTAAGTACAGATAACTTTTGGCTGTTTAAGCAAGGAGTTACGTAAAAAGTATAACGTTTTAGCATTGCTCAGTGAGGGTAGACAATTATGGTCCACCATAACTCTATAGTTTTATCTATAGATAAAACTCATGAGAGACGACTATATCGACAGATTTATTTTATAAACGGCTATTTTTAAATAAAAATCTTTCTTCAAAATTTAAATGTCAGTTTCATGAAAACTTGCATGGGAATGTGAGTAGGGATAGCTACCCGAGCTTCCAATTTTTGGGAACGTTCCCAAAGTACTTTGGGGAAATTTTGAGGTATTTTGGGTAAACTCCCGAAATCAAACGACATTAACCAATGTTTGGGGAAATTTGGGGGAAGTCCCCAAATTCAAATGACATTGACCAAGGTTGAAGGGGAATTTTGGTGTTTTTGTGCCATTTCCCCAAAATTTACTATGGCGGCTTCCACAAAATGTGTCAAATTTTCCCCAAAATTGGGAGCTCGAGTAATACATGTGTTTTTAATCAAAGACGCTACTTGGTGTTGTGAGCTCCATACGAATAATGCTTAAAAAAATCAGACTGCCAAAACCAATATATATATAACTCAAACCAAAATGGAAATTTTAAATTTCAGTTCCAGACTTGAATTGCTTTGGGGTCGTATGTCTCTATATGCCTATATTTTTCATACATGAACTAGTTCTCAAAACTTATTTACAGTGATAGCAGTTTCAGAACCTTGTTTGTTCATATTGATTAAACGCTCTTATTCCTCAATTTCAAAGGTTTACTACCAGTTTAGAGTCGATGGTTTTTTTTCATTGAATAGTGCAAATAGCCCACTAATCACAATATAATATCTCGCTTTTCAAAGGCATGTTATGTTGAAAAATACACCACCCAGTGGTATAATTCTTCGCTAGCTTTAAAGTATCGTGACTCGCGATGGCTTGTGGGCTTGTTACAAAGGCATGTAAGTACATCTTCTGTTTAGCATGTTTAGGTAGTTACTCAAAAATATAGATAAGAAAATGTACTGCAATATGAGCACAATCGGAGAATAGGTCGTCTAGAGGGTTGAAAAGGACTCAAATAAATGTATATGCCCCTGCTTTTCGCAACATCGCTCGTTTTGTAATATCATTTCTGCCCACTACTTAATATTCTCGTAATAAAGTTTTGCAAATTGAAATGCTCGCTTTCTGATATTTAATTACGCTTTAGGCCATTTGTGGCGTCTAGTTAGGTTGATGTGGCTACTCAGTTCAATGTTCATGATGAATTCGAAAAAAGTTTAAAGATTAGATTGCCTTAATCGGAAGTTAGTAAGTTTGTGTCATCGTTATGGGTTCAATAAAACCAGTTAACTTCACGTCATGTAGTTGTTTAAATAGTAACATTTGATCAAAAAGTGTTGTCAAAAGAGATTTAGGCGATGAAATGAAAAGAAAATGAATCCTGTGTAATATTACTCTTGACCGAGTTCAAATGCCTGAAGTTATCACAATTATTTTAAGACAAAGGAAAACTAAGCATATAACTTGTTCTCAATCAACGAATTTTCAAATCTTTAATGTTTTGGTGAAAACGATGAACACATAAACTAAAATCGATGTTCGAGGGAGGTCGATTATGAATACAGTGGTTTTGAGTGCTGTTAGAGGTATGAGAGCGGTTATCACTTACCGGTTGCTCACACCGTGGAAGGGTTCTTCTGGAGACACCTTAAAACAAAAGTGGATTAGAGGTGGTCTTAGTGACCTGAAAGTGTGACCGCAGCGCCCAAGGGACAACTGCTTGAGGTCGGTCACACACGACCTTTTTGCGAGTCATTTTCGTGTTGGGTCCGTACTTGTTGAGACCTTATCGCTGGAGACGGATATCCGTGGGATAATGTGAGGTGTGGATCTTTGGGGTCGACCTTTTCTATCCCCATCCCTCCTTGTGAGAAGGCAGCATGGCTGTCATGCTGGTTGTCTGGAGGAAACACTTTACTGCTGTCACACCTCTGTACAGTCAGCAGTACGACTTCGCGTTCGCACTTTGGGTTTGTTGCTTTTGTTCTTACCGCTGTTGAATCGACCAATGTGGCATGGTAGAACCTTGAGGAACGATTGTTCCAGCCATTATAGCTCGATTGGTTCATCATGATAGGCAAGCCCGACCACCACGTCATGGTGGCAACAACGGTCAGGTGAAGTTCGAGGAAATTAATCATTATCAAAACATTTATAATGATGTAAGCATTTACATTTAATACTTTTGTACACCTGATTAAGCTTGATTGCATAATTTTATTGACAAAGTATTCCGTCAAAGCTTTAATTCTTCTGAAGTATGAGTAATTTAGAAAGTTATCGGAATGGCAGAGTTTGCATCATTAGAAATTGAACTACCCAAGTTCTAAAGATGTTGTCAGGCATTTATCTAGTTTAGCA